ATGAAAGTGATGCAATTTATAAAGGTTATAGCGATACAAAAAGGGCTACTCTGGGGCTGTTCTACCGGCGCCTCATTAAGCTTAAGGCAGATCATGAGCCCAATGGCGACAAAGAGCTCGAGAAACGGCTCTATAATCTGTCGGCCGTCAGAATACGACAACTCCTGAAACTGATGCCAACGGATAAACTGCCCGATTGTAAGCTGGATGTGCCTCAAAGGTTGCGGGTTTTTATCACCCGAAAGCCATCCAAACAAAGGGTTGACAACCAGTCAGTTCTCAGACAAGAGGTGCCAACGGTGTTGAGTCAACCGCCGCAGAAACGCACGAAATCGGTACAGACTGTTGGGACCCAACCTAACAAACCTCCCGCCGATCCCCTCCTGAACCTGAATCTCAGTGCCAAACAGATGGCAGAAATGCAATCAATGGCTACGAGCGCTGAACAGGTACTGAATACCGGCGACTTCTCCCGTGATGTGCCGGTGCCGCCTACTGTCCCCAAATCGCAGGCATTTCCTCCATTGGAACAGGTATTGAGTGCCGCGGGCTTTGGCGACCAACAGCTGTGGGAATTAGAGCCCGATTTGGACCCACAAGACGAGGGTTTGCCTCCAATAGCTCCTCCAATAGTCCCTCCACTTCCCCCTCCCATAGTCAACCCAAACGGCCAACAGTTAAGTTGGGAGCAAATGGTGGCCCAAACCCAGCAGGAGTTGGTGCCACTGAATCGCAACGCCTATTGGCCACTGGCTTTCCGTTGGACACAACAGTTGTTGGATCTACTGATGGACGGGTACGTCGCGACCCAAGCGGATGAGCACTACTTCAGGAATTTCATCGATATGGTGGCCCTCACTGGCGAACATCCGCTCCGTGAGTATAACGACCCGAATGTGCCACAAGAGCACCGGACACAAGAGGGTCGTCTCCGATGGATCCAAACGTTGTGCGCTCTGTTGTATCGCTTGTATCACTATCTCTGGCGTGAGGGACAGGCGCCTAATGCTCAGTATGAGCTCAGTTTGCAACAACAATTTGGTGTTCATCCCGACCGCGGGACCAGATATATGTTGCGGACCATAGTTGGCAACCTTGAACAGTGTCTTAATGGGTGGATACACCTTCACACACATGTTTAGGCAACCAATGAATGGCCAGAAAGTGATTACAGATTGTGTACAAGAAATACAAATTAAAATACAGTAAAACTTAATTAAATTGATTTTAATTTCAAATCAGATATTATCGTATAGTTGACAACAATTGTGTTAATTTTGGGACAATTAGTGATCATATCATGAATGGCCTTAAGAGTGAACTTTTCATTGCATTCATTGAAAACAATGGTTTGTATTTTCGGGAGTTTAGACAATGAGTTCAATACACTATCCGTTATATCTATTCTACTGAAGTCTATGCACAGAATATGTGGTAAATGTTTGCCGATATCACGTGTAAAGTCTTCGCCATAAGTGATACCATGAGATCATAGAGTGAAATGAGTGATACGTTTGCAGCGATTCAGTGATTGACTGTTGAATACAAACTCTTTTGGAAAACTTGCGATCAGTTTAAGACGTTTTAATTGATTCAAGTATTCATTCATTGTTTGCATTAATTGAGACATTAATTCATTGGAAGTGATGTTATTATTATGAATCGATAAACTCTTTCGTTGACCACAATTCACACCAATTTGCTTCAATTGATTCATATTTATATCGTTATGAAAGTGACAAATGAATAAATCATATAATTGTGTCGTTTGTGACAAACCAGTCATTAGTACAGCCATTGACTTCTCACTACAATTGCCATCGATTCTCAAATCAATTCATTTCATTGTCTTCGCATATCTTTTGACAAATACTTCAAATCCATTCACGTCTTCATTCGTGTATTGAAATCAAAATGTGTTTAATCTGCGAAACAATGCATCACTTTTCGGATCAGTTAATACAGTGGACAATGAGTTCCCAGAAACCATAAGTTGTGTTCAATTTGTACAATCCTTGAGACAATTGTCGACACACTTAGGATTCAATTGATTTCATACTTTTAGCACATTTTGTAAAAAACATTTCAATTGTATCGACACTTAAAGCATTAAATTTAGTATAAATAGCATTATTCTTATGTGTAAAATAACTATGTCAGTATGTTTATAACTGGATTTATGGGACTAGCTCATGATATTCGCCGAGTTTGATCAATTCAATTTGTCGATAGGGACATATAGTTTGTTTTAATACACATTCTAATTGCACAATTTTCTGACAGGACACGATGTTCCCAACTAAGTGGGAAGCATCGTGAAGTGACAGTAAATTGAGTGGTTATGATTGCCATGATTAGTTAGCCAATAACATAATTAATATTTTGAATTTACTAAAATTAGCCAATCAAGTAAATTAGCTTGTTGAATTTACTTTCAATCATCACTGTCATCCTCATTTTGTCATTGAAATAACATTAAATTTAATTGAATACAATGTTGTACTAGTATTATGTGTTAATATATCGGTAATCATTTCTGGAATTATGTTAAATTTGACGGCATATAGCAGTTAACATTCATTTTATGTAGAATCAATAGAATTTACGTCATTTCAATGACAAAATGAAGGATGTCAGTGATGATTGAAAGTAAATTCAACAAGCTAATTTACTTGATTGGCCAATTTTAGTCAATTCAAAATATTAATTATGTTATTGGCTAACTAATCATGGCAATCATAACCACTCAATTTACTTTCACTTCACGATGCTTCCAATTAAGTTGTATCAGTTGTATTAGCTGTTTTATGCCTTTGCTTATCTTTATCTTAGTTAGGATTATCATTGGTGTCTGGTTTAACCTTGTTAATTCTGCATAAGTTAGCATTATTGAATATTGTATTTAATATTTGAGAATAAATAAATTCCACCAAGATTACAATGCAACAAAATGTCAGACAAATTAATAAAAATGTAAATAACGGTGCTGTTTCAGTAAATTCAATTGGTTTTAATTCGGTTGAATTGGCATATAATATATCATGGTCTTTGCCAGTAATTTCCTTAAACATCTTAATAGCTTGATCTTGGAAAAATGATAATTTGAGTTTTAGCCAATATTGCAATATCCATGATTCAAATAGTCGTTTGGATCTGAAATTGTATAAACACCATGTTAAAATCAGGGTATAGCGTCATACCCCACGTGGTGGGAAGAACCAATGAGACAGGTGGTCAAAATGGGCGTATAATGTAATTGTAATGTGGTACAACTGTATTTATTGTATTGGTACTGAGGTTATAGTGTATTGGTTGGACAAATGACAAAATAAATATGATTTACTGTCCTATATGTCCTATATGTGTAAAAAGTGTTTGAAATTTTGATTCATTTTATTGTGAATCATTTTTATCGCTAATCTCTTAATCTCTTTTTCATAATTTTGGTTCAAAAAATATATTCATCGATTAAATTCAAAAATTAAGAAATAAAATGAATATTTAATCATTTTATTCATACAACTATTTATTTAAAGTATTATTTGCTGATAATCAACTCCAATAAACTTATATGCAAAAGTATTTTGCATGAATAAAATGTTGAAATATTCATTTTATCTCTTAATTTTTGAATTTAATCGATGAATATATTTTTTGAACCAAAATTGTGAAAAAGAGATTAGCGATAAAAATGATTCACAATAAAATGAATCAAAATTTCAAACACTATACACATATAGGACATATAGGACAGTAAATCATATTTATTTTGTCATTTGTCCAACCAATACACTATAACCTCAGTACCAATACAATAAATACAGTTGTANTGTCGTATTCTGACGGCCGACAGATTATAGAGTCGTTTCTCGAGCTCTTTGTCGCCATTGGGCTCATGATCTGCCTTAAGCTTAATGAGGCGCCGGTAGAACAGCCCCAGAGTAGCCCTTTTTGTATCGCTATAACCTTTATAAATTGCATCACTTTCATCCAGTTCCCTTTTATCCAAAGGTCGCTGGGGATAGTGATTATAGTTGACAAGTAGTACCCCTTGTCGTTCATTGACGCCAAACCCCTGTAACTCTCGTAACCATCGGCGACGATCCAACAGCGCCCCCACGAGTGCCGCCCTGTTTATGGGGCTGGAGTCGCGTTGATACCCGTCCACAGCGGCCAAGTATGCGAAGAATCGTTTTCTCAAAGCGTTTATCACTACCTGCGGAGCGTTTGTCAGGAATTGCTGACACCTTAGGCCGAGCGCATACATGTGCAGCCGATAGCACTGCTGGAAGTTGTAGACAAACATTCCCTGAATCTCCGCATCTGTTTGGAGGCGCGTATCGTTGGGGTCGTTGTGGTTGCCTCTCAACCGTTCCCTCAATTTGTCCTCATTTGCGAAGTACTTATCCCAACCCATCTCAGCCGTGTGTAGTGCACCCAATCTCATCTTTTTATAGGCGTCCTCCCGGTTCTGCAACTGGTTTTCCCGCAGCAAAGTTTCGTCAGTCGGGAAGGACGCCATTCCCAACTCACCCAACATTTGCTGCAATGTCTGAAACTCACCGGAAGTCAAGTATGCCCTCAACTCGTCATCAGACCTGTTATCTGTATTTACCGGCGGATCGATATCCCGCTGATAGGGCTCAGCCATCTCAGCCCAGGGATCGTTGGGTTGCTCTACCACTCCCGCTATATCCATAGGGTCTGCGAGAATGTCTTGAACCTGAGGACCCTGAGTGGGATTTGAAGGCTGTCCCCCACCACCACTCGGATTCATTGTGTTTGGGAAGGGATTTAAATTTCTGTCCTTTTCTTCAAATGCTTTATTATAACATTAAATTTTGGTTAAATATTAAGCGTTTAAACAAAGATTTTAAAAATTGCTTGCTATTGTTAATTTTATTTCGTTGCAACTTTGTAAGAATTAATTTTTACAAATCAAACAAATGTTATATAAATATGTGACCATCATACATTTCAAAATAAATGTCCAAATGTTTTCCCGTAGCATAAAATCCATGAGCACTCGGATTCTTTGTTTTTTTTATCTAGATCTCTATGATCTAAACGATTAGACTCGAGAGTCATTGCTTTTTGAAATTGATGTACTTTTTACGGGAGTTTTTAAAAAATTATTTTTATTATGAATTTATTTAATAAATTATATTTTACATAAAGGTTTAATTAGATTATTATTTATATATTTTTTTGATTCGTGTTATAACTCGAATATTTTGGCGATATTTTCGACTTCATCATGGATTTGGCATTAATTTCAAATTGAGTTCCGAGCGATACATTTGACACTTGTATACGAATATCTAGATTTGAGTTCAACCCTCCAAACCCTCCAAACCCTCCAAACCCTCCAAACCCTCCAAAATCTCCAACGAACTGATGCCTATCAGCTTATGCTTATACAGTAATAGTCATCGTATTCACCACTACTGTACCCTAAGGTTAAGACCTAATACCCGTTGAATACAAGTCAATCATAATTACAATAATCAATGGCAAACTATTTTGGAAATTTATTTCACATTTTGCATTGCATTTAAATGCTTTCACGTTTGAATCATAAAAAAGCGCAAAATATTTTTACATGGATAATAATGCAATAAAATTTAATATAAAAAATTAATGGTAAAATCATAAAGATCATAACATTTTGGGTAAACACATACAGTCTATACTCTATAAGAGCAAGTCATTGGTGATTTAAAAATTAGTTGCTTATAAAGAGAGTTGCTTTTATAGGGAGTTGCTTCTATGCTATTACACTTGCCATAGGAGCGGCCGGTGCTTTAGAAATGTGTTGCTTATTGGGAGAATTGCTCTTGTAGAGGTTGCTTTTAAGGAGTATAGACTGTATTTCAAATACAAATTATAGAAAGCAATTAAGACTAGACAATTTCATAATAAAATGATCAATATCAAAATACATTAAACCTGGTTTGAAATCAATATACAGTACAGGTGTATTGGCAATGCAATCACAAATGTATATTTATATTACGCAAAGATTATACATTTTCTTTAGTTTAATAACACTTATACAGGTATACTATACTGTATGAAAATATGAATTATTAGTATATTTAATAGATTATTAATAATTGGATATTTTGCGATTTTAATTAAATGAACCTTCAAATGTCTTTTTATAAATAATTTTATTAAGCAATCATTTCATGCAAATATGACGAGTCTTAGGCCGAGTATTAGAAACAATAATAATAATAATAATGTTACTAATTATTTGATTGATTACTATTTAAATTCATTTAAATCCCGGCTTAGATCTGGTAATGAGTTCTCGACACAAGTGATAATAAGTCATATATTGTCTATAGTTTATATAATTTTAATTATTAAATCTATTATAAGTATTGTGTTTGATTTGGATTACGAGACAAAACTCATGTTAATTGATTTGACACTATTTTACGGCGATTTACAATTGTATACAAATGTTTGTCTCATATTCCTCTATACATTGGGTGTGGTTTTAAACATAAGATTTCGTGTGACAGTCGACCAAAGGATTCAGGAGTGGACACAAATTTTTGAAATTATGAGATCCCCTGTAATGAACAAACTGTTTAATACACAACACAATCAATTACTTATTAAATTGAGTAGATTTACTCGTAAATGCTATTTTATGATGAATATTATGATTATATTTTTTGGTAAGAATTTTAATATTACTTTTAAACTAATCTTAAGATATTTGTGGTTTATAATAAAAATGTACTTAACTAACTAAAATACAACAAAAATTACATAATCTAATACTAGCTTAAATTTTATTAGCTAGCCATTTTAAATTGTTATATGTTAATTTTCAAACAGCATCAACAAGTACCCTGATAACACTGGGAGTTATTATATATTACTATAAATTAAGTGATTTCTTGATTGCCATAATACCATCCCTATTGACATTCACGGCGTTTATGGTAGTCCTGACCGATAGCATAGTCGGCGCTACTATTGTGGTAATCATTTGCTATTATCTACATCTGAGAGTAAATAAAATAAATAATGGTATCCATAATCTGTGGCACCGGAAAGTACTGACTATCAAACAAATCCAGATATCGGTGGCTGACTATATGACACAACACGACTACCTGTCCCAACTGGTGACCGACTTTAACCACTACTGGCAATACATATACATGATGTTTGTGGTGACAATGATCCCGGTCAATTTGATTATATTAAACCAATTTGTATTTGACGACATGATAGCTGTGTTTAAATTGTTTTATTTGGTGTCCATTATATGCCAATATGTTATACTGTTTGGCGTTCAATACTATTTCGCACTATTTTCGGCTAAAATGCATGTTATGTACAAAAGGTTGTCACGACTTCAGTGGTGTTTATATGGACTGCAGTTTAAGTTACATTTACTGATGTTTGCCGAGAGACTGACCGGAAGTACCAAAATTGGTGTTTCTATTGGACCCCTGATTATCATGACATTCATTGTATTGAGTAAAGTATGTAGCATTTAAAACATTTAAATAATTTTTCAAGTAATAATAATAATACCATGTTTATCTTACAGATAGTAATACTGTATGTGCGATTCAATATACTAGTGTATAAATTTGCGCAACGACTTCGGGATTAATTTTATATATCTGGAGTGGCGGTGAGCGGACTACCGGTGCGTTGGAAGTCCTACCACTGAACCACACAACACTATTCTTAGGAGGCGACTAAATACTACTAAGTCTGAGAGGAACTACAGTAAGGTGCGGCTAATATGTTACAAGTTTGAATTTAATTTTTTAAAAGATTATTTGAATTAACGCATTGAAAACACCACCAAACTGTAGCTTATTTACTAGACATTCATTTGATATGTGATTTGGCTCTAAAAAACACGTTACAAACAAAAATATCTCATTTTCCCGTGATGACCACCATTTTCGGG